AAGCTATGATTCCTGGAATTTCAGGAATTTTACCTCCAGTTAAAAGGATTATTGTTAAAAGCAAAATAAAGGAGCTAAATTTTTGTACTCAACTTTAACCCCTTTAATTAAATGGTCCCAACTTTATGTTCACTTAACTGTAGTTCTGCATTGTAAAAGAGATTTGATTAACATAGTAGGAGTGGTAGTTCCTGAGAGTGATCTTTAAATTGAAAGATTTTTTATATTTATGGCATGGTAGGATGCTAACTTTTAGCAATTATTTTATCTGCTAGAAGACCTTTCTAAAATGAGGCTTACAATGAACTCACAAACGAACTTATTTTTATTGTGTCTCAAGTTAGCTGAAGATATAGTGAATATAATACCACTCCACTTGCACTAAATAATACGCATCATAAAGAAATCGATTTTTGTCAATTTTGTGGATGACTCCATAAGACAGACTTCAGAATTTGTAAAAGGACTGGTGACAACATTGGCTTTAGCAATATATATTAGTGTGAAAATAGTAATGTCTCTTTAAAAAAAAAAATAAACTATTTTGTTATTTGAAACTGCCTTTTTTTCAAGAAAGAAGGCAATTCAGTATTTTTCACAGGAGTAAAAACACATGCAGACATTAGCTGTCAGTTTCAGAAGTGTCATTCAAACATCTAAAAGCTTTGCAAATTCCAAGTCCATAACATATAGTCCACAGTCACTTAATTCTGCAACAGTTATATTAATCTCAGCCATAACTGCATGTCACTAAAGTGTCCATTTCAGATAGCAGTCTAGGCTTCCTTTGGAGTCAATAAGAAAGTGAGCGATCTCCAGAGAACCATTAATCTTAGGAACCATTCTTAAAATAAGATTCATTACTCCTCTTGGAGGTCTGTCCACTGCATGCAAAGGAAACTTACGCTAAACACCTAAATCTCTGTGAGATGGAAGGAGTGTTTCAGTTGTGTACACATATGTACCAATGATGTCTGAGACACTTTTGAGTATATGGGATGACTGTCTATAGCTGGAAAGTTCAATATGCACCTTACACAATCTGGACCCTTTTAGAGTAGCAGTCTAAAGACTGATGCAGATGTTTAAAGCTGATGACTACATCTGACCATATGGCTTTATAATCTGTGAAGAGAAACATGAATTTTTATAGCACAATTGTTCCCAAAGGAGACAGTAGACTAATTTTTCTCTGGAGGTAACTATCTTTTGTTAGTGAGTTGTCAATGAGAGAGCCAAAAGTTCGTAGCCAGATGTGGGCAGCTACACAGACAATGCATACAGTTAGGTGAGACCCTGGGTAATTACTCTGACTGTAGATGGCTCAGCATTGTGTGAGCTAGAACTTGGCTAAAATAATATGTCTGAGGGATAACCTTCAGTCCAGGTCTCCAAAAACATGTAGATGTTCTGCTTAGGGACATGGTTTAGTGGTGGACCTAGCAGTGCTGGGTTAACGGTTGGACTTGATCTTAGAGATCTTTTCCAACCTTAATAATTTTATGATTATTTTTGCGCTTCGCAGAACAATTAATTATTCTGAATAACAGGTTACAAACAATTCATTACCATCACCATTCACGCCTGAAATAAGTGGATTTACACTGCATAGTGTAGGAAAGCATCTGGGTTCTATGTTTGTTTAAATAAGTTTTGGGTACTGCTGCACTTTTATAGGAAAAAAGGTAGAAATATCCTCTGCGTTGGAACAGAAGCTGTGGTTTGTAGTAAGCTCTGGGACTTGATCTGATTTGAGATCAAGTTCCAGTGTGCTTGAGAAATGTAGTTATTTGTTACAATTTTCTGTTTGGAGCATTAGGTGGTATGTTGCAGTTGTAGGAACCAGGCCACTGAACAAAGAGGAGAGTGAGATCTTTGAGTTCAGTTTATATATTTTACAGAAGGCAAGAGAGTAAGTAGAATGACAGGTCTAACATTTATGTTGTTTCCCGCCTTACAGAGAACACACTTCAGGGGGCTCTCTCCCAGTCCCAATTTTGTAAAGGGTGCTGCTTCACTTACACAGACATGCTAGAAAGGACCTAACAATAATGCTTAGAAGTAGCAGAGTATAGTTGCTAAGCTGTATTCAGTGAAGTTAGAAAAAAATAGGTGTAGAACACTGTTCTCAGTTAAATTAATTACTATTCTATAACACTGTGTTTTCCTGAGATATGCCTTGGTTTTAGTAGGAATAGATTGGCTTACTCATTTTAAAGTGGTATGAATATATTAATTTATGGACGATAGTATCACATTCCCCGTGAGTAAACTTGGGTAAATAAAAAGACTTATCAGCATTGTCTTGTAACAGATTAGAAAACTGCACTATCTAATTAGCATTGGCTAACCCAACATTCATTCTTTTAATAAGTATAAAAGTGGGTGGAATCCATTGTACCTAATTTACGCACACAATTTATAGAAAAATTTTAGAAGCTCTTAGGTCATTCACAATACAAGAAAATTTTTTGGTTATCAAGAGGAATTAGTATGTGTGGTGCAGATGTAAAGGTAAGTGAACATATTTACCTCTGGAGACTTTCTAGAAATCTGAAGATTATGGAGAATATAGAAGTTGGGAATCCTCTACAAAGACTCTGAACTTTAAAACTGTTTTGGGTAGTGAAGATAAAGAGACAGATCCTACATGTAGGATATTTATATTTACTCCCTTCCCAAAAGAGAGCAAGAAGGATAAATACTGGCTACATTAAAATGTTTTGACACCCTGTTGGAGTTCGTGGAAGAAATATCAAGAAAATTGTCGTTCAATTTCCTCCTTGTGATGTTTCCTCAGTGGTTTTCATAAAGTTTCATTACATGAGGCAGCATCCTTTTAATCACTAGTTCATAGTTATTACATTTATAGAAATCCAGTACAGAGATATGTGAAATACCTCTCTGGAGAATGTATAAACTAGCAAGTTCCTGTAAAAGACTCATATACAATAATTACTGTGCCAAAGCTGCTATCAGTAAAAATTACATATGGAATTTAATAATATTTGGAAATGAGAGAAATAGGTCAAAGAGCATTTAAAAAAATCTATATTTTTATTGATTTTAGTTTTGCTAACGGTGAAGAACCATTATTTACTTATCATATAGAAAAGATTTAAGAATTTGATTCATGGTGTACTGAGTTCAAATGAGTAAAAGTTTAACATTTTCCCTTTAATGAAAACTTGCTACAGTTTTTAGACAATTCTGAAATGCTAAAATCTTTCTTCTGGAAAAAATATTATCAACCTAATGAAATCACCAGGTACAAAGAAGGGATTAGAGGCATTGGTGGTTTTGAAATCTGATTTTTAAGGAGACATCTAAAAAGACAGCTAAAAAGACAAAAAATACAGTATTAGTACTTACTATATTAGTGAACTTTACAGGTCAACTAGAGCCCATTTTTAAACAAATCTTGATGTTACCTTAAGAAAATTACTAAAATTATGAATAGTGTTGCACAAAAAATTTTGTATGTTTCACTTTATTTTTTTTAAATCAGTAGGTGGAAAACTGAAATAGGAATTAAAAAAAAAATTGATTAAGAAGAGAGAAAACATTCATGTCTCATTCTATGAGTGGTGCATAAGACGTGCTGTTGAAATTTAATGCATTACAGACACAATCACAGAAAAACTGCAGCTCGATGTATTCCATTTGTGCTCACTTTTCAAGTAACTTCCCATGGGCTTGCTGAAATCAATCTCCTTTAACTCTTTCTACCCTCTGCATCAACTCATCATTGCACAGCCCTCCTACTTTACAAAGTTTGACATTTCTAGTAGAGCAAGTTCCAGATAGTAGGTTCTTTATATATCCGCCCCTTCTTTTGTGTTATGCCTTTTTCTGATTTCAGTGAAAATATTGCTGGTCTGGAAAGCATTCAGCATTTTTTCAGTAGGGTTTTTTATGCAGACTCATTTTTCTTCACCTGCAAAACTGATCTTTATAAATCATTTTGTATGCATATTTCAATGCACTGAGCTCATGGGCAGCTGATACTGCTGACTTACGGAGTCTACACACTGAGATGAGTCCTTTGAGTTCATTATATTGAAATCAAATTCTTCGAGATACGTATAAAGGACTTAAATTTCTCCTACTTTCTCTGATTAGTGATCGGAGGTAAAGGTATAGTGCAATGAAAATGCACATGTATCCATGAGTGCAATTCTCCTTTCAGATAAAAATATAAAATATGAAAATAAATTTTAGTGACAAGGGTCTGTCACTAATTGTTCCAATTGTCTGAATTCTGCAGTTATGTCAAGGGTGCACCAGCTGTAAATCAATACAGCACTTTTGTACTCATGACTAGGCCTCATTGTTGGACCAGAGAGTGAGATGAACATCATAATATACCAAGGCCCTGATGAAACGGGAAACATACCATAATGTGTTTTGTGTGTGTGTGTGTGCGCATAACTCAGCTGGGATTCTTTCTGCATAATGCCTACGGACTTAGGGTTCTTGTTCTTCTGTCATGTTTGGACACTCTGCTTCTGAAGTATTACCTCTTACTTCTTGCAAGAGTCGTGCTTGCTTCTTACTCCTGGAACTTACTTGAAACATTACATCCAAAAGCAGTATCACCTGTCAGTGTCTCCCAAACAAAATATGCATCTGGGTAGACTCCTCTAGTGCACCTCCTCATAGTTGGTAACAGTAGTTCTGCTGCACTGGAAATTGTTCTGGGAATAATTTCCTTTCGTTTGGGCAATGGTTTTTCCCTGCATATTATCTGCACATATCAACTAGCCTGTAACAAGGATTGTCTTTAAAAGACATAACAATAGTCTAATTTTTATTAGCTTTTTCTTTTGCCTACTTGCCCACTTGAAGCTGGGATTCAAAGTGTTAAACAGCTTGTGCACTTTTAGTTTATACTTAAAAGTCATGTGGTGATGATTATTCTTGATTTGATTTTAACTATTTCATGATTACTTCACCTGAAATAAATAAATAAATAAATAAATATTTTATAGATTTCTTACCAAGCAAGTTTTTGACTCAGTAAGATAGAGAGTGATGTTTTCTCAGCAGTTATCCTTCTAAGTCCATGACTTTCATGTTCCTCATACGTCTGCAGCCAATCTTCAATAGGACATATGACACATGCTCCCATTTTATTTATCCTGTAATTGGATTGATAGGTAGCTTTCAGAGGATTTGAAGCTATAGATTCAAATTCCTTCTAGACGAAGACAACTGAAGCCTGCAACTCCTATGAAAGAAGTGGTCTCACTACATGATTATGACAGCAGTATTCTGCAAATTAATTTGGTATTGCTTCTCTGCAGCAGATGGGATATCAGGCACTACAGAATGCTCTAGCCTGGCTTTCAACTGCTACTCCAAAATGGTGTACATAAATTCTGTATTATATTTGTCACTCCTGTATGAATGCCAGATACCCTAAAGCTTTTCAGATAGACCCAGATGAAAGCTGAGTTATTTGGCTTAGCTGAAGAAGGGATTCAGACAGCCGTGGACATCCGTAAAACACCTGTAGACAAGGAGCTTTAGCATGTCTTATACAGTTGAAACAATGTGGGTCATTTTTCTTGGCATTAGACTCTTAAATTTTGTATAAATATCCTTTCTGACATTTTACGTTTGTTATGTGTCTGCCTTGACTTTCAACTACATGCCCTTGGTGAAAGAGAGAAGTATATCTGAAAAAGACAACCATAGATTTGAAAACATTGGCCCCTAAATTGGCTGTTCCTTCATGCTTTAGGATGCATTCTTCTAGCTTTCAGATCTAGATAACACTCTTTTTCTTCCTCCCGCCTTACATGTCAAAGACAAAACCCTCTCATTTTCTATTAATAAAGCTGAATTGTGACTATTTAATCATCAGATTTTTGCTTTAAACCATGGATCTTCTGTGACTGATATGAAACTACTGGAACATGGATAATTAGGGTGCTGTATTAATCACTGTTGGCAAACTGGAGGAATGATTAAGGCAAAAAATGGCTAATTTCACAGTTTATCTGTGACATAAAATTCTCAAAGAGGGTCATTTGTAGTGCTGAAAATATCTCTAGCTATTTTGTTTTATTTTTCCTGTAGAACAAAGTAATAAGAAAGATTAGTACTGGCTCTCAAATGGCCTATAATTTATTCTTTTAATCAAAAAGTAAATACAGAATATTATATCACTCAATTGTTGAAAAAAACCCAACATTTTACTGGATGAAAAGCAGACCTAAACAGAATTCTTGCTGGCTGCTACTACTCTTGCCTTTGAAAAGCAAACCCTTAATGTTTTATAGACCCAATGCAGGAAAAGAAGACTGTGTCTGACTTTTCCTTTGTTTCTTTTTCCCTGCAGGACAACCAAAGTCTAAATAACCTGTTTCTGCTAAACAGTGATGGACTCCTGTGGTGGAACTCGCAGAATCCTGTGGGTCCTTCTCTGTGTTTTCACCACATATTTTAACCATACTTTATGAAGCCAGCTGTTGAATGCAATCTTAGCTCTACTTGACATAAGGAGTTCTTCTGCCCCCTGCCATTGCTGCCCAGAAGAATCATTTATTTTTGCAAACATTCATTGCAATTTTCTTGTTTATTGTAGCATCCTTCAAGAAGAGAAGCATTATAAGTCATTATAAGTCAGTTTAGAAGATGTTCAGTAATAGCCACATAAAGGGGCTGAAGTGCTGAACATCTTTCAGAAACTAAATGCAAGTCTTACTTTCAGAGGGGTTCTAGGCTAAAGGGCCATTAATGTCAAGACCGCAGGAAAAAAAAGAGACCTCAAATCATGAATTCAGCTGCTCATGCATAGGAGAGCACTCAGCAGTCTGGGCACTATTCATTATTGCTGCTTCCCTCTAATAGCAGAAGGGTTGAATGAAACAAGACAGGTAAATTGCAATAGTGTTTTTGTTGTGATTCCTCCATCTCTGACCAACTTCTCAAACATTTTGATGTTAAAATCATGCCCATGCTTAAACACGAAAATACAACCTTTAGTATTATAGAAAGAAGGAAAAGGAAAATGTACGCATGAGGGAAACATCATCATGAGATCCAGAACTGGGTATTATAGTTTCAAGAAAAAAACTCTATTCTCCAAATGTAAATAAATGTATAGTAGTACTAGAACAGATTAGTCAAAACTGTCTTAAACTCATTCAAATCTCTATTAAACACCTATTTTCAACCTTTCATCCTGCTGTAGGACTAAAGGTACTCCATTGCTGGACAAGGTGGATCTCAGTTCTAATTCATTCCCAAAAGCTGACACCATTAGTTATCAGAGTTAATCTATATTTTATCTTCATTGTCTGTTAAAAGGTAGGATAGGGAGAAAGTCAAAATGAAAATCTAGATGACTCTAGAGAAAAAAAATAGCTATGGCAAAAATGCCTTTATTTGTAAGAAATACATACCAGCATTTGTGTAATTTTCTTATAGTTGACTAGAACAGCCATGTTGCAAATCATGTGAATATGTATTTATAGTTTTGTTTTGATATTTATTGTTAGAACAAAATAAATACAAACAATTATTGGGTTTTATGGAGCACACATTAAACAGTAAAATCTGTAAAGCCATGCATTAAAGTTTTATCATTTAATCCTGATGTATCACTTTTCCTTAACATTTAAAATCAAACTTTTGTTTTGTTGATAAATACAAGCAAGAATACAAGTTATATACCAACACTTTGGGTACAGAGCAAGTGAAGGAAATTGTCATTATGGTATGCTTTGTCCCTGCCTAGTTGCAAGTTCTTTCAGTACCTTGTAGAGGGAGTTGTACTAACAGTGGTCTTCATGAATGGACCTACAAAGCGTGAACTTCATCTTATTTTAATTAGCCACATAAAAGTTAAATTCTCTGCTACAGTCAGTGGAAAAAGATAGTCACCAGTGACTGGCTCAAATTGTCTGACTTTAAGGCAAAACTAGTGGAAATAAACCCAAGTCACATGGAAATTCTGATCAGCTTCTACTAACTTTGAGACCATATATTTTGTCAAAGTACTTCTAACTCAGTTTACCACCAGCATTTGTCTCTCTGCTAAGTGTCAGCACTTTTACCAAGTTTATATCAGCTAGATAAGTTTGTGGGCTATACAGGACAGACATATACAGCACAAGCATTTATGATCTCCAAATTCCTCTGCAACAAACAGTAACAGCAAAAGAACAGAAACGAAAACAGAACCAAGGACAACAAAATCAGCAACAACACAAGGAAAGAGTCAGAGCCTGAATGAACATATAAAAACTGTTACCTGATCACCCATTAAGGTAGCAATGGTAACAGTAACAGCAGGAACAAAATCTTTCCTGATGCTATTCTGGAGTATTTAGCAAATATTATCCCCTCTTATGTCATAGACACAATCCAGAAAAAAGGATAATCCATTAACAATTGTATATGGTCTTCCCTGACTGTTTGCACTTTCAGAACAGTTACATGGTTGCTGTTTTCTGGTTTCAAAAATTCTAGATGGCATGTAAAATTTTGCAAACACTTCTGAAGGCTGAGAATGACATAAAATTTTAAAAAGTAATATCTATCCTCTTTTAGTGTTTTTGCAATTCCATCCCCTTTCTCTTCCTCACACCTCCTCCCTGCCCCCTGCCGCCTCATCCAAACAAAAAAACAAACAAACAAATAAACAAAAAAAAAGAAAAAAGAAAAAATTCTTCCGACCTTTTATGTAAACATTTGAGGGTGATTTATGTCATAGCAGCTGCTCTCAAGTGCAAGCTGACAGATAGGACACAATATGACATAAATCCTAAACAGCAAACATATAACTACTGCATTCAGTTGATATTGTACTGTTGATTTCACATAGATGCTGTAAAAGAAGAAGGATAACACCTTATGGCAGATATGAATTTTTATATTATCCCTTTCTTTTTTTTTCTTTTTTGCACCTTCAGTCCTGATAAGGAAATATGTTGAAATCTTTATTATTGTTCACCTGGTTTTGCTTTTCCTGCTGTTTGGTTCCTTGTTCCCAGGGACTTTTCTTTCTATCACTTTTAACTTTGTCAGTTTGTTCTCAAAGTTGACAGCCCAACAGACATCCCTTCACGCCATGTCCTCTGGTGTTAAATCAAATGGCCCAGAACAGTTCAGTCATTGTAGTAAAGGAATAATGAAATGTCTATTGTACAAGGTATTCAGGAAATTACAAGACATCAATGGGTGGATAAACATGTACTTTGAACTTAGGAAAAAAATAGAGATCTCTGATGGCACATAGAAAAATTGAATAAAACAAATAAAGCAAAACACACAGTCAATAGAATAATGAGAAACTAATTCCTCATGATATTTAAATGGAAGTCATGAATTTTTCTATATTGAGAGCTCAAAGGTACTGAGAAACAAATCAGAAAATCAGGTCAACCACCCTACTGGCCTCTTCCTTCAGTTTGTACTGAAGGGAAACCTTCATTTTAAACCCAACACCAGGTATCTGTAATCTTTATTTTATAGCTTCATAGTTGACAATGCTACTAATAAGGAAATCAAATGCTGTTGAGATTTTTTTTTTGTTTGTTAGAATTTAGCCAGGGAAAATCTATTTCAAAGCCATCCCCCATCTTAAAGTTTTTCTGTAAGTATATCTGAAAGCTACTAGGGAGGCTCTGAATTTTATCATGCTTGATAAAACATAATAAAATGGCTAAAATCAATAAACAGAATGAGATGGTCATTGTTATTCCAAACTTGTTTCTTCAAATTGACAGTTTTTAAGTCTTTTTAAACTAAATTGAGAGACAGAGTGGATGACATACCATTGACCAGGGCTTACCACTTGACAGGTATTTTCTTTTTAGGCTCCTGTGAATTTTGCAGTGATTTGGAAGCAAAACTTAAATGCAGCTGTAGTATTGCATCAAAAAAATTACTCTCTAATGGCAGTGAAAGGAAAAATTTGCTTAGTTTGTTCTTTTGGTGACTAGTGATGCTTTTAAAATGTGATTTAAACATATTCAACTAAATATTGAAGAAATAAAATTTTCCATAAATTGAACGGTTGGTGGGCATTGTTTGATGCCAATATCCCTGTTCCTGATGCGAAGCTTTAAAAAAAGTCTGTAATATTGTTTGTAAATCTATAGCCCTAATAAATTTTTTCTGAAAATGT